AGACCAAGACCAAGACCAAGACCACCACCAAGACCAAGACCAGCTAAGATGCAGTCAGCTCTAGACAGGCGCCCCAGTGCCGGCGCCGGCGCCAGGGGTGGCGCCGGCAGTGGCACCCACGCCCTCGCTGGCACAGCGCTTGGAATGGCCTAGGCACAGTCTTTGCCAGATTTGTGTATTCACATTTTTGCAGGGTTCAGGGTCAGGGTGCCAGTCCATGAAAACGGCTCACGTCAAGATTAGAGTCTGGAGTTCGAGGTTGTGAAGCGCTTCAGCGTGTAGTTTACAAAGCCATGACATTGGAGCGAGGGCTCTGAATGGAACGCTTAGTGGGCTATCCCGAAAGCCCGTTTGTTTAAGCAGATTGACAGCATTGAAAGCTATTCAGTCAGAGCATGATGCTTTGGCGGCGTAGCTGTCTTCGGAATAGAAAATAGTAGTCGACCTCTCGGAATGATTTAGGCTCGCCTGCGGGAGCCGAGTCAGCAAAAGGAAGTTTGTCACGTGTTATCCCGGCCCTGGGCCCACTGTTAAGAAATGTGTGTCACTGTGGATCTGTCTTGGTGAGACAATTCCTTATCCAAGGTCTTTTTAGCTCTCTGGGATGGGCTTCCTAAGTTTCGGCTGTGCGTCGCAGCAGGCCTATGTCCTAGGCTTCAACATCCTCTTGACCCCTGAAACCCCACGCGCAAAGAAAAGCATCGGCTTGATCGGCTTGTAACCGTTAGCCGGAGGTGCGTTCTGCTCAAGTACCACCACACTTCCTGGTTGTATGGTCATCACTTCATGTAAGGGCTCTCCAGAACAGCCCGAAGCTGATTTTGTAAGTCTGCACCGCTCGCTGTTGCAGACTGGTTCCAGACCGCAAGCACAACGTCATGAGCTGCGGCCTCAGTTCACTCAGTTCCCGACGCCCGGAACTTGACCGTACCGTACCGCAGCTTTTACTGGAAAGTCTCGAAGACGTTGGACCCCTTATTGGTTTGTAAGACGTCCGACATTCTGCGGGGTGCTTGAGTATCAAAGAGACCTTGGCTTAGCTTGAAGTACCCTAAAAGCAAACATGCCTGCCGATTTCTGACCGTCATATATATATAATATACACACACACACATAGTGGTCTCCCTTAACGTCACCGAGGGACAACACCACGTTCACAAGCCTTGATTGTTTGCATATGAGATTTCAGCTCCTCAAGGACTGCACCAAATCTAAGGTTCAGACTAGCCATGGCGTTGTGCAAGCTCACTAGTACCCGTCCTCATCCAAGCTATAGTCACAAGCATTTTCAAACGCGTGTGCATCAGCATGATCTGCTTTGGAGACAGCATGTATATGAGTCTGGCAAGGTAGCATGTGTGCCTGAAGTCTCACTTTGAGAGACGCGCACATATCGTGTTCTGAGATGTCCCGATGCCTGCTACATTTGTGGATTGCGAGGTGTGTAGGCTTCCAGAGCTTTGCAAAGCAAAGTTGGGCCGTTAAAAAGTAAAACCTGCTTGAACCACCTAAGGTGAGACTTAATGTGGTATCTGATTTTGAGGAGTTCTGGCATCCTGCCTCATGAAAGTCATAAGCACCGGTACTGAGAATAAAGGCTTGCATGCAACTTTCTTTGTCAGCGATGTGCTTCAAAATGTAATTATGATGTGGATTCATAGTCCCCCCTGGCTTAAACCATGCCGGAAACCGCTCCTCATATAGATGGGTTTTGCCACTGTCCACGAAACTGGGGAACCTATCACCCCAACATTGGTGTCTGGCCTACTACGCAGAGTCAACAAAGATGCGCAAAACAGAGATGGAAGTACAAGTACATGTACGCCCCTTAGGTAGTCATCAAAGAATGGTATCTTGGAAGCACAACTGAAGCACCCTGGACCAAAAGGCCCCTGGCACAGTGCCACGCTGAGCTTACTGCAGCTGCTGGATTGCATCGATACTTAATTCTATTGTGACATTGGAGGTTCTCAAAACTGTGTTTTTTTTTTTTTTT